CCAGTCACATGTAGCGGTGTAAGTAATTAATTCATTTTCCCAGTGGCGGCGGTCATACCTCGCTCTCCTGCCTACCTTGTCCTCCTCTTTCCCTCTAACCCTCCCTCCCCATTTTTTTGTCTCTAATCATTCCTACCCGTCGCCCCCAGGTTCCCTAGCAATGTTGCTTGGTTGGGCTGGTGGATTTCTCGGGTGGGGGGAGAGGGGGTGTGAAGCAACCTTTTCCGGGTTTTGTAGAGAAACGGAGCCGCCTTTACTCAGTTGGTGTTTATGCCGAATCTCCTTTTATTTATTTATTTCGTGTGTCTTGCGTGTGTATGTCTGCGTGTGTGTGCGCGTGCAGATCAGCAGATCCTCAAAAAAGAAAGGAAGAAAGACACTCCAGATTGGTAGCGATATTTTGTAACAATCAGCTGGATTCTATCTCTTAGCTGCGGGCCTAGAAGTCTCAGAGCTTGCAGAGTAGTAGGGAGACTCCGGGTTTGCACCTTGGCATTTTCCTGCACCTAAAAATGTTGGTGGCTACTTAGTTTTTTGTTTTACTGGGTTTTTTTTTCTGAAATGTTATTGTTTAAAAGAGAGCTCTGGGCCCTACTTTCCTTTTCAGTCAGCATGTTGGATGCTTCTTTCATCCCTACATGTCCCAGAAGTATTTCTGGATCCTAACAAGAACTACTTTTAATAAAGACATCATACTCCCCCCTTATTTTTTCAGGCTTCTCCTTTCCTTTTTCCTTGTGTAAGATGCAGGATATGGGAGATTCTTGGGTGGGTTGCTAGGAAACAGACTAGGCTCCCTGGGAAATTCTGTAGTTTCCTTGACAACCAGGGATTGGGGCAGCCTCTAATGAGCAGACATTCTTTTGCTGTGGGTGGGAAAAGGGGGCTTTTCTAGGTTCTAATAAGTGGGGGTGAGGTTGAGATAGGAACCCCATGAAAGAAGAGTTCAAGTAGATCAGGTCTTGTGGGACTTGGCTGAACACAAAGATCTGGGGAGGCATAGTGAGGAAAGCCTGTGGGGGAGCAGTAAGGGTTTGAGGGGAGGCTACTAAAAGATGGCTTGTGTTTGATGAATAAGGAAGAAGGGGGTAGGGGTTCATAATCTCTAAAATGGAAAGAGACTCATACTTGCATGTTGGGAGTTGGGGAGAGAAAGATCAGTAACTGAGTCTAGGAGGGTTGTTGTTAGGAGAAAGTCTGGAGGCCAGAAGAAAAAAAAGAGATCTTCAGAGGGAATGGCGATGGTTGAGTACCAGCCATAGGAGCAAATTAATCTTGACTCAGGTTGTAAAACGTTAGGATTAAGAATACTGTCATACACTGATAATAATAATAATAATAATAATACAACAGTATAATAATGTTTTGCAATAGAAAGCTGTTTCTGTTTCTCAGATACAGGTCCCCATTTAAAATAGGCCTGATTATGCTACCAGTGGTCTGACTTAATTGGGCCATCCTATATTATGGAGGAAGATGTAATTACATAGATAGATATGGAATCTAGTATTATATAATGCCAGCATTACATAATAAGAAAAGTAGCTCCTTTCATCCCAGAATCTCAAAGCAATTTGCTGATGTGAATTAACCAAGACCCAGGAGACCTCGTGAAGTTCTCATCTCCATTTCCCAAAAGGGGAGGCCGCGTGCCCTCCAGGGAAGTGAAGTACTTGGGAAGTGAAGTGGTTGGTCCCTCTCTGAGCCAGTTCCCCTACGGAAGCTAGGCAGTGAACAATTTTATAACTGGAGTTATGTAGCATAGGCTGGAACTAGAGAGTAGCAGAATAGGGAGGGAGTCAGGTATAAGAATAGGAAATAAAAGGAGCCCTGGAGAGTGGATGGTCAAGGGGAATTTTAGATTGGACCCAACTCCAGTAAATCTTCATGTTTGATTTTACAGGACTTTTTCCTCCCTTCTCCCCCCCCCTCCCCTTTCCCCTCAGTTTGCTTCTCCTTAAATGTGGCTCATGTCACCTCCCATTAGAGTTTGACTCTTTAAGTACTACCTCATTGGTTAGCTATCCTCTGCTTAACTCTAGTGTTGCATAAGTTTTTCTTTGCCTTTTTTTTCTTTAAATCAACAAAACCTCTTGAGTCCAGAGAGGAGGGTGGCTGTGCTAGTCTCCTGGACTCCATTCTGTGCAGGAAGGCTGATAACACTGAAATATAGCTAGATTTCCTAGCTTAACTTAAAAGCCCAGATTCAAGAGATCTTTTCTCTTCTCACTTTTTCTCTTTTCCTGGGCCTAGAGATTTCTGGGAGAAAGTGACCCCCGAATTTTTCCATGGTAGTCATTTTAACTTGTTGAATTTTTTTTTACCATCATCTCAAAGCTTTGCTAAAGTACTGTATGATATCCTAAATAGGACATCTGAAAGAATTTTCATCATTTAAATTACCACTTCTCTGCCCCTCCCCACCCTTCCATCCAAAGCACACTCCACCCAAGTCCATAATCACCTAGAAAGCACCTACTAAGTGAACTGCATTAGGGGCTTGAATGACAAAGACAAAATTGAAACTGACTTCTCTCCCCTCTGGTCAGTATCCTTACTTTTATATCAGAACTCCACTTTTTAAAGTGTGATTCTTGTTAATGGGATGAAGAAAGAAGGGAGGAAGAGACTCTTTCCAATGGGGTAGGACTAGGTTTGGAGAGTAGAGGAGAAATCAGGACTGCAGGATGAGGTAGTTGTTCTGAGTAGGGCCATGGGTCTGGTGCCAGTCCAGTAGGGGTGGGGTGGGGTGGGGCAGGAGGCATTGTCAGGGTGTGGACTATCTTATGCTAATAGGATAGGGTGAGCTGGGAAGAGAGAGCATCCCTGAAAAAATCTCCGCTGTACTTTTTTGCTCAGATGCACCCACTCATGAAAACCTCCGTTGCCATTGTTACTTGGATATTTTAGTTCTGCATTCCTGCACGTTGGCACAATGTTACAGCATCCCAGGAGCCTCACAGGAATGTGGGAGCTTCCACTCCCTCCCTCTCAAGCTGGCCTTCAGGGTTAGATGGGTTAGGGAAATAGAACTGTGTACCTCTTGAAATTATTTTCTGCTTTTGTTGAAGCAGGAAGGGTTAATCCAGTTTGCTCCAGCTCCCAGGACTGCCTAGCCCGCCTGTCATAGCTTGCATGCCCCATACACCCTGAATCCCCATATACCTCCTTCACTCTTTATACCCTGAATGCATATATACACCATACATGCCCTATGTGACCCAAACACTTTGTAATTCCACGTACCCCCTGCATACTCCATCAGCCTTGCATGCCCTGATCCCCTTGCACACCCTGCATAGCTTGCTTGTCCTGTATGTGCTGCAAGCCCCGGCTGCCTCTCACAGCCTGTATGGCCTGCCCGCCATGTACCGCCTGCGTACCCTGCACAGCTTTCCTGCCATGCATGGCCTGCCCACCCTGCCTGCTGACTATATCCTGTATGGCATATACGCCCAACGTGCACACAGGAGATGCTTTGACATAGTGCCAGCTCAGTTTTTTAACTTGTGCCCAATCCCTTCCCATTGGAGTGAATTCCCAGGCCACTTTCTGTTAACTGCCATTTTGGAGCCCAGTGGCATTGCTCCCTTGAGCTGGGGGCCTCCCCGTGTTACCTTTTCAAATGACTCTGTGAGACTTCACATGGACACAAGCACTTTGTGCTTGTTTATCTGAATAACGATTCTCTTCTCCTAGTTCTGGAGTTTCCTCTCAGCTTGGCAGAGGGAGAAACTGAGGTAAGGGTCAAGTGGAAGAGTAGTTACCACTGAGTCTGTGCTTGACCTAGCAGTTCAGACTCAGGGGTCTTTGATATGCTGTTTAATTGAGCATCCCTAGTTGAAGCAACCAGTCGTTCCAGGGAGCTTCCAGCCAGGGGCACCCCAGTGACTGTGACTTTTAAAATGAGGATTTTTTTTTTTTTTGCTGAATGAGTGAAGTATGTTTATGGGAGCTCAACCTCAGTTTCCTAGAACCAGGACATAGGATGTCTGGGTGAGATGCTCAGGTGAGATCATGGGAAGGGCTGTAGGTTCTGAGAGCAGGCACGGGCATCAGCAAATGGGATTGGACAGCCTTCCCAACTTTGTCCTCATCACCATCCCTGGGTCCCTAATCAAAATATCCAAGCAGCCTGGACTGACATGAATAGTGGTGGGTTGTCACAGTGAAAATCCTGAGTTCTATCTAGTGACTCAAGAAGCTTCCCCAGCCTAGGCTGGCAAGGAAAGAGAGAGAGAGAGAGAGAGAGAGAGAGAGAGAGAGAGAGAGAGAGTGAGAAACTCCTGAAGCAGCATAAGCTAGGGCCCTGGGGAAAGGGGAAAGGGCTGCTAGCCCCAGGAAAGGCCTGGTGGGAGTTTCCAAAAGAGAAATGGAGGGGGGAGGGAGAGCCTGCTGCTGGCTTTGACAAGTCCATTAAATTTTAAAGTAGTTCTGCCTCCGTGCATGCTGGGAAGGGGTGGGGACCTGGCTGAGCCTTCATCTTCTCTCAGCTGTTTGCTGTTCTGTTGCCACCGCTGCGCTAGAAAGAAGAGGGCAGGGTAGAGCAGGGGAGGAGGGAGAGAACCTTGTCAGACTGGCATTTCTTTGGTGAAAATCAGAGGGACACCTCCCATGGTCTTGAACGGAAAGGGTGTCTCCTCCCCAACTCAGATGCCTAGCTTGGAGGTGAGAGCCTGATGGAGCTGTTCCCTTCCTCCCAGCCTTCATAGGACCCCTGCCCCCTTCTTTTTTAGTCTTCCTCTTTCTACTCTTCCTAGATGCCAGGGCTTCCTCTTTAAAGCTAATGTGGGCCCGGCACCCACCACCACTTACCAGGGCAGCTTTGTCGTCCACCCCCTCCCCATCCTTTTGCACAGCAAAGTTGCCCAGGGAGTTGTTCAAACCCAACTCCTCCTTCTCCTGTTGGGAGAGACTGCCTTGAGTTAAATCAATCCTTTTCTTAGATTGGGAAGATGATTTGGAGAGCTGCCCCAACTAGGCTCATTCTTTCCTCCCAGGTCCCAATTAATGGATTCTGACATGGATTATGAGAGGCCAAACGTAGAGACCATCAAGTGCGTCGTGGTCGGGGACAACGCTGTCGGCAAGACCAGGCTTATCTGTGCCCGTGCCTGCAATGCCACCCTCACCCAGTACCAGCTGCTTGCCACCCATGTGCCCACAGTCTGGGCCATTGACCAGTATCGGGTGTGCCAGGAGGTAAGAGGTGCAAGGGGGTGGGGCTCCATCTGGGACTTTTCCATACCTGTGGCTGCAAGCTACTATACCCAGTTTTGGGGTTGAGGCAAAAGTGACTGGCAGAGCTCACAGTATGCCTCCATGACCAGGGCTATTATCTAACAGGATAACAGAAGGGGAAAGCTTTAGCAGACATACCTAAGGGGAGTCACCCTAGGGAGTGTGATCAATTTAGAATTACATGGCTTTATGGTAGGAATGTAGTATGGAAGACTTAGCATCAGTTCTCCATTACCATCCCTAATCAAACGGTTACCCAGCTCCAACTTGAATAGCTCCAGAAGGGAGGAATTCACTTCTGGCTGAAGCCATTCATTGCAGTGTGGTACAGAGAACACTTCTTAGATTCAGTCAGAGTTTGGCTTCCTGTAACTTCCACTTACTGGTCTTTGTTCTGTCATCTGGAGCCACACAGAAGAAAAGTAATGCATCTTCCTGTGACAGCCTTTCAAATAATTTGAGTCAGCTATCAATTCTCCCTTAATGCCTTCTCCTCTCCACACTAGACATCCCTAGTTCCTTCATCCATTCCTTTTACAAGAGTTTCAGCTCATTGTCCCAAAGACATGTTCCAATTTATGGATATCTTTCTTAAACCATGGTTTTCCAAACTGATTAAGCTGCTCCAAATATGGTCTTAACAGGCTAAGTACAATAAGACTCTCACCTCTGTCACTCAAGACACTTTCCTTCTATTAATCCAGGTTATGATTGACAAGAAGCATTGAGGCATAGCAGATAGAGAATTGGTTTTGGAGTTAGAAGACCCAAGTTTGAGGCCCACCTCAGATAGATACTGGCAGTGTGACCTTTCCATGCCGTAGGAAACTCTGAGACTATAAATTGTATGACACTTGCTGGTCTCTATTGGTAGAAATAGTTTTCTCCCTGTGAATTTTCCATACAGGTCTGGGGGGAAAAAAGATTAACTTTTTTTTATTGCCACATCTTACTATGACTCTTATTGAACTTACAGTCCACTAAAATGTCTAATTCTTTTTTTTTTGTGGACTGTTAACTAGCTACATCTCCTGTCCCATAATTATTCGGTTGGTTTTTTGAACCCAAATGCCAAACTTAACATTTATCTCAATATTTTTCTATATCCTGATTCTGTCATCTAATGTGTTAACTATATCATTTCCAGTTCTTTATCATTTTCATATTTGTTAGTTCTGCCACTGATTTTTTTATTGGGCGTCATTAATAAAAACATTAAATAGAATAGAGTTAAGGACAGAGCTCTGTGGTACTCCACTAAACACTTCCCTTTAGCTTGACATTGATCTAACACGCTTTGGTTGATTAACCTAACTCTGCTATCATTCAGTCCACATTTCTTCATCTTATCCGTAAGGGTGTCAAGGGAGACTGTATCAAAAATACTGCTAAATCCAGAAATGTTGTCTTTATAATTTTTTTGCTTAATTATTAGCTTAATAACTATTGGAAAAGGAAATTAGGTTGGTCTGGTTCAGGTGTTCTTTCTTTCTTGTTTTTTTGGCTAGGCAGTGGGGTTAAGTAACTTGCCGAGGGTTACACAGTTAGTAAGTGTTATGTGTCTGAGGCCGGATTTGAACTCAGGTCCTCCTGAATCCAGGGCCGGTGCTGTATCCACTGAGCCACCTACCTGACCTTGTTCAGGTGTTCTTGATACAGTTTGTGACGTGAATCCTCTGGTAGTTTGGTGAAGGCTGTGGACCTATTTTCAGAATATTTTTTTAAATATTTGAAGGAAATGTTAAACTTCAGTTAGAGCTTAGTGAAAATATAGATGTAATTGTTTTTCCCATTCAAGTTTATGAATCCCCTGAAATCTCTCAGACCCCTAGGGATTCATGAGCCCCAGCTTAAGAACACCTGGTCTAGTGTAACATATTCTCAGTGAACTTATGCTAGCTCCCAGAAATCAGCCTTTTTGCTTTGTAAATGTTCACAAAACATTGCCTAATAATCAGTTCCAGGATTTTTTTTTCTTTCTTAAAATAAATTTTATTGGTGTCTTTTTTTTAAATATTACCAAAATTTTCCCCAGTATCCCTTCTCTCCTCTCCCAAAGAACCACCTTATGTAACAAATAATATTTTTAAGACAAGAAAAGAAAAAGAAAATTTTAAAAACTCAAGTCAGTTCTAGAATTTTCCTAATTCTCCCCCACCCCCCAACCAAGATTCTTAAGTGCAGACCAAACCAGATTAAAATGTTATCGGAAATATTTAACAAGTTAAATAAAAATAGAGTAGAACATAGATAATGTTAGTATGTGGTTTTCTAAGCTAATATGCAGCCCACATATTAGGGTTTAGCAGCCCCTATTTCTGTTTGAGTTTGTTATCATTCGTGTACAGAATTCCCTTTCCCTCTTTGAAAAGTGCTGGGTTTGCCCATATTCAGTCTTCTGCTACCTTTCTGGTGGTCCATAATTTTTCAGTGATCGTTGTCAACAACTCCTTGTTCATATTCTTAAGTTGTTCCGGTACCCTGGGATGTGTTCTGGGATGTAACTGACTGAGACACATGATATGCACTCATTTAGAGAAGCTAGCCGCTCCCTTGATTGTCTCCTCACTGGTCTTTGATTTTCAGACCCTCTCCGTGTACATTTGTTGTTCCCTTTCCAGTCTGGAGATCCTTCTTCTTGACAGAGAAATTGGAAGTAAAACAGCCATTGAGTAGCTAGTTCCATTTTCTCTTTGTCATCTCTTAAATATTACAGCATCCTCACCAACTGCTGGCCGATCTCCTCCTTGTTCTCTTTGCACCTAAATGTACTCTTTCAAAATTTTTTTGTTCTGTGCAGCATTTTCTTTCTGCAAGCCTCAGCTCATTCTCACCTTAGCCTTCCTGCTACCATTCTTACAGGCCCTTGCCAGGGTTTTGTTTCTTCCCTTGATTATGTGCCTTTTGCATCTGTTATTTTTTTTTAACCATCATTTAAAATCAGAGCTACACTGAAGCATCTTGTGGAGCTGAACTGATCTCTTTGGAACTCTTTCCTTTTTCCCTTACCCTTTTTTGGTTAGCATACCATCCTGTATGTTCTTCTGTCCTTCTCAAGCTGTCTTCTCAGGCCGTAGCATCATAGGGTAATAGATTTAGAATTGGAAAGTACCTTTGAGGTTATCTAGTCTAACCCTGTCATTTTACAGAAAAGGAACCCGAAGTCCCAGACACCTGTCTCAGATCACATGGCTCCTAAGTAATTCTCAGCACCCTTGTCGTTGTCCATTTCCCATTTTTAGAGTCAGTGACTTATTTTGGTTAGGTTCATAAGATTATTATTTTATGATGTAGAGCTGGAAGCGCCTCAGGTATCACTTAGTCCTCCTGCCCCTCTGCCTCCCCACCCCCCATTTTACAGAAGAGGAAAAGGAGACCCAGGAAGTGTAAGTGACTCACCTGTCCGGGATTAGCCAGGTAGTAATCAGAAGTGACCTTTGAACCCAGGTCCTCTGACTCCAAAGCCAGTGCTTTTTTTATAATTACTCTTATAATTTCATTGTGTCTTCTTTTTATACTTATAGTTTGGTGTTGCATTTCATTCATTTAATTTGCTCAGGGTAGAAATTTTAAGACAAAAAAATGAAACACACGCCTGCCTTCAAGGAGCTTACATTCTACTTAGGGAGAAGATAATGTGAACATATAAAATTAAATACAGAAATTACATATGAAGTAATTTCTGGCTTTTGACCTTTGCTAATACTTGGATCACATAATGAGAAGATGGGACTCATTGAAAAAGACCCCGATGTTGGGAAAGATTGAAAGCAAAAGGAAAAGGGGACGGCAGAGGATGAGATGGATAGATAGTATTATGGAAGCAATGAACCTGAGCTTGGAGAGACTTTGTGAGATAGTGCTGAATAGAAGGGCCTGGTGTGCTATGGTCCATGGGGTCATGAAGAGTCTGATGTGGCTGAATGACAACAACAAATAACTAGTTGATGATACGAGTGTATGTAGACAGCTCATAGGACTCCCAGGGGCTTCTCACTCCCTTCTTGGAGAGATGGATTTATGATACAAAAGCATGAGATTTCTGAGCAATTGTCAAGCTTTTGGCCTCCCTTATTTCAGAGGATTTGAGTTAGAAGGAGACCTCAGTGGCTTTCTAGTCCAATCCATCCTTGACCAGGCTCGCTAAGTGGTCGTCCAGCATCTACTCCGGGACCTCCACAGAGGAGGAACCCGCCACCTCTCTGGGCAGCCCATACTCCTTCAGGACGACGGCTGTTGTTAGGAAGTCTTTCCTGACATTGGACCCAAATTAGCCCCTTGGCAGCCTCCACCTGTTCTTTCTATTGCGGCCTTTTGGTGCCAAATGGAACAAGTCTCATCCTTGTTTCACATGACAGCCCTTGAAATGCTTGAAGATTCTTAATCACGGATCATATTTTGTTCCAGTATGCTTTTTTCGAAAAGGTCTAGATCAAAAAAAAAATGTGAGGAAGGCCTTTTGAATGACTGTATGTCAAGGTACTATATCTAGCATATGTTGACTTGATTTGGAAGCTCTTGTTAAAGCCTTAGATTTTCTCCACCTTTTACTTTTCTGTGAGAACATGGAACCCTGCAAGGGAAGATGAGCTCACGTCAAGTCAGCAAGGATTTATTAAGCACCTTCTGTGTGCTCAGCATTGGGTTAAGGGCTAGGGATACAAAGAAAGGCAAAAATGGACCCTGTCCTCAAGGAGCTGATAATCTAGTGGGGGTAGACAACAAATAAACAACGACCTACATACAAGATAGAGACAAGATAAAGTCATGGTCATACCTGAGGGAAGGCACTAGAATGAAGGGGGATTGGGAAAGACTTCTTGAAAGGTGGGATTTTAGTTGAGAATTGAGGGATGTTAGGAGGCAGAGAGGAGGGAGAGAGCATTCCAGGCCTGGAGGATGGCCAGTGAAAAGGTATCATGAATGATGTTACAGTCTTTTCAAGTCTTTTCAAGTCCACCAATTGCTGTACTTGCATCACCATGGAAGACTTATGAACCCTCCTGTCCTTTGGCTATAGCTTTTCCATGCCTTCCATTAACTTCCTATATTTTCTTCGCACCCTTGGAAACTTCTCTTGATGTCAGTGGTGCAAGTGAGACTCCAAGCCCTCCTTTGCTAGTGTGCAGTCCAAGATAATATGGACACTTTCTGCCAAGACTCTTCTTGCTTGCGCTTCAACCGAGTTTTCCTTGTTGGCCTGGATCGAGTTCAGGAGAGTAATCCCTTTTGTGCCTTCTTCTTTCTTAAAGATGAGGTAGGCAAGTGGTGCTATAGATACGTCACTAGATCCAGTGTCAGGGAGACCTGAGTTCAGATCTGGCTTTGGATACGTTGCTAGTTGTATGACTCTAGGCAAGTCATTTTACCTCAGTTTGCCTCAGTTTCCTCATCTGTAAAATGGAGACGATAACTACATTTACCCTGCAGGGTTGTTGTGAGGATAAAATGGGGCAGTATTTGTGAAAGTGCTTTGCGAGCCTTAAAGTGCTATGATCTGGAATGGAGATGTGCCTAGGATATAGGAATTGGAATTCCTGTCAAGAGCCCTAAACTTGGGAGGCCTTTCTGTATTTGAAACTGCAAGGAAGCAGCCAACAGTAAAGAAGAGTTGAACAAAAAAAATACTGGCTACCTATGGTATTAAAAAGCCTTTGGCCCATGTCTACAGTGGGCAAATAAAGGAAGCTAGGACCGGATGCCTGGCAAGAACACCTGCCTTCCCACCCCATTCTTCTCCAACACTGCTTTAGGACTTTTAGGGTTTTCTTTCATTGTAAAGGTTGCCCTTGCTGTTCATTTTACCCTTATAGAAATATTGAGGAGTTAGGGGAGACCCAAACAGTTTGAATTGTTCAGGGCTCCCCTCCCCCCACTTCCAGGGTCTTTAGCTGATTTATAGGTGAATCCTAAACAGAAATTCTCTTTTCCTTCTTCTCGAAGGTGCTGGAACGTTCCCGGGATGTAGTAGATGATGTCAGTGTGTCCCTTCGTCTCTGGGACACCTTCGGAGACCACCACAAAGACCGGCGCTTTGCTTACGGGAGGTAGGACCAGACCCTGGCTGCCTGCAGGGAGCCAGGTGGGTGGGTGGAGTTGAGCCACCTTAAGCTTGAGTATTCCAAGGAGAGGGGAGGGACTGTACTATCAGAGTTCCCATAGGGTAAATGTATCTGGGTACTCATATCTGATGATATTCTGTCAAATCTGTTCTCTTTGTATAGAGCTGGAATTTCTCTGCGTGTTGCATTTGTACATATGTGCATATATATGTGTGCATGCGTGTGTTACACTGTCTCTATTCCTGAGAAAGGTGACCCCCTAACAGCACCTACTCCTTTGTCATCCCCACTTCCAGATCTGATGTTGTGGTTCTTTGCTTCTCCATTGCTAATCCCAATTCCCTGCACCACGTCAAGACCATGTGGTATCCAGAAATCAAGCACTTTTGTCCTCGGGCTCCCGTTATCCTAGTGGGATGCCAGCTGGACCTACGCTACGCTGACTTGGAAGCCGTCAATAGGGCCAGGCGCCCTTTGGCCAGGTAAAGGGGCCGGGACCTGGAGCCGTCTAGTATGGGAGGGCAACATTGCTGGCTTCAGGGACTTTTTCCTCCAAAAAGAGGACTAAAAGGGGCAGCCTCAGAAAGAACCGAGAGAGAGGAAACAGGTGGGAGAGAAGAGAAGGGGGCTGGAAATGGAGGTCAAAGAAGGAAAATAGAATATGCCCCCAGGTGAGGAATAGAAAGGAAGGCAGAGAGGGTCTGTGCTTCACCTTCCTATCCCTGAGGTCTTTATCCCTGCTTCCCCTTAGTAGCAGCTGGAGTTGCAAGCTAGGATTTTTCCCAGTCCAGTTTGTTCATTCATTTAGCAAATGTTTATTGAGTCAGCATTGTGTTAGGAGTTATGGAGAATAAAAAAGATCAAGAAGATGTATTTATTACCTCAAGGATCTCAACAAATAGGTGGAGAAATCCAAATTAAGCACATCTGAAACAAATAATGATTGGGGGTAGTCAATGGTTAGGTATAGAGACTGAGTCCCAGGAGAAAGGAAAGAGTGGCACTGTGGGCTGGTATGGCCAGGGAGTGTTTCATGGGAGAGGATGCTGAGTTAATTTTAGTATATTAAGTTTAGGTAGGACTTGGGATGAACCTTAAGGGGATGGATAGAATGTGGATAGGTTAAAGAGCAGAGGGGAATAGCCTGAGCAAAGACTGCAAGTGGAGGAGGAGTCAGCATGGCCTAAGTAAGGTTCTGTGGGAGGGCCTACCTAACTGGATCTGGACTTTGAGTAGACTTCCTTGGCCTTTGAGATGAGTTTAGGGGAAAAGCTACCTCCTCCTTTCTTCTACCACAACCCAGTTTTTCTCTGTCTTCCCACCCAGGCCCATCAAGCCAAATGAAATCCTGCCTCCTGAGAAGGGCCGGGAGGTGGCCAAGGAGCTGGGCATCCCCTACTATGAGACTAGTGTGGTGGCTCAATTTGGCATCAAAGACGTCTTTGACAATGCCATCCGGGCAGCCCTCATTTCACGTCGTCACTTGCAGTTCTGGAAGTCTCACTTGCGAAATGTCCAGCGCCCCCTGCTACAGGCTCCATTCCTCCCCCCCCAAGCCTCCACCCCCCATCATTGTGGTTCCAGACCCCCCATCCACCACTGAGGAGTGTCCCGCCCACCTTCTGGAGGACCCTCTCTGTGCGGACGTCATCCTGGTGCTGCAAGAGCGGGTGCGCATTTTTGCCCACAAGATCTACCTCTCCACCTCCTCTTCCAAGTTCTATGACCTGTTCCTCATGGACCTGAGTGAAGGAGAGCTGGGGGGTTCCTCTGGGTCAGGGGGCCCCCGCTTAGAGGAACCCCAAGGTCACTCTGACCACCCCCCACCACCATCACCACCACCATGGGCGGGACTTCCTGCTGCGGGCAGCCAGCTTTGATGTATGTGAGAGCACAGATGAGGGAGGGGGTCCTGGCCCAGCAGGGCTCCGAGCTTCCACTAGTGATGGCATCCTTCGGGGCAATGGGGCTGGGTACTTGCTTGGGCGTGGCCGGGTGCTCTCATCCTGGAGTCGCGCATTTGTGAGCATTCAGGAAGAGATGGCAGACGACCCCCTCACTTACAAGTCACGCCTGATGGTGGTGGTGAAAATGGATGCTTCAATTCAGCCTGGACCCTTCCGGGCCGTGCTCAAGTATTTGTATACTGGGGAATTAGACGAGAACGAACGGGATCTCATGCACATTGCCCACATTGCTGAACTGCTGGAAGTGTTTGATCTACGCATGATGGTCGCCAACATCCTCAACCATGAGGCCTTCATGAACCAAGAGATCACTAAGGCCTTCCACGTCCGTAGGACCAACCGGGTCAAGGAGTGTCTCGCCAAAGGCACGTTTTCAGGTATGGGGGACGAAGAGGGCACACGAGTTAGGGAGGACACCTGCAGCAGGAGTAGTGGTAGAGAGGGATTTTCTTTGCTTAAATTATTGTTGGATGCTCGTTGATTCATAGTGGCCCTTTGGGATCTTGGTTGACTCTGGCTTCCTTCATGATAACCCTGGGCATCTCCTAACCATCCAGAGGCTATATGACTCCTATCGGATGGCACCATTCCTAGAATTTTCTCTCTCATTTCCTGTTCCTCAGCATCTCCCCTCTTCTGGAAGGTGGGAAGGCCTAAGACGAGGGAGATTCGGAATGAGAGTTTTGCTATTAAGTAACTGGGACACCAATTTCTGATGCATTGGGATCACTATCACCAATCCCTAGGTCTTGTTCTTTTTTTTTTTAATTTTATTAATTTATTTTGATTTATCAACAATCATTTCCATATGCTTTTGAGTTGAAAATTTTTCTCCTCCTTCCTTCCGCCCCCCCCAAGACAGACATCAGTCTGATATAGGCTTTATATTTACATCCTAGGTCTTGTTCTAAAAGAACCATGGAGTCCCTAGGCTAAGAGCTTGGGTACTATGTATTTTTTTTTTAGGCAATTGGGGTTAAGTGACTTGACCAGAGTCACACAGCTAGTAAGTGTCAAGTGTTTGGTCTGAGACAGGTACCATGGAGGTGGGACCAAGGAAGTACTCACAGATCTTGGAGGAGGTACAGCTTTAAGGACGCTCTGATTGCTGGCAGATCTGTTCCTGGCAGCCCTAGAAAGTAGTTCTTTGTTTTAAAATTAAATTTTATTTATTTTCAAATGAAGATCCACCTTCTCTCCATCCTACCCCCTCCTCCCACCCCCTGTTGAGAAAGCAAGAACAACCACTGTTATAAACCCATATAGTCAAGCAAAACAAATTCCTGCATTGGCCATGTCAAAAAAAAAAATGTATCTCAGTCTGCCCTGAGTCCATGCCCTCTCTGTCTGGAGGTGAGTAGCGTCTTCCATTATGAGCCTTCTGGTTGGTCATCGTATTGACCAAAGTTCTTAAAGCTTTCCAATTGGTTGTTATCTTTGCAGGATTGTTATTGTTGTATAATTGTTCTTCTGGCTCTTCTCACTTCACTGTGCCTCAGTTTATACAAGTCTCCTGGGAAGTAGGTCTTTTAACCTCCTTCCTTCGTCTGTGACCCTCGCTCTCCTTCCTTGCAGATGTGACCTTCATCCTGGATGATGGGACTATCAGTGCCCACAAGCCGCTGCTGATCTCCAGCTGTGACTGGATGGCCGCCATGTTTGGAGGGCCATTTGTGGAGAGCTCCACAAGGGAGGTGAGGCTTTGTGGAGGTGGGGCGTGAAGGGGATGGGCTCCTGTCTCACTTGTAACAAGTAACTATTAGGTGCCTACCATGTGTCCACATTGTGCTAGGTATGGTTGGGGATATCAGATGGTCCCTTAAAGGGTAAGGCAAGTAGGCTAATGGAGAGACGAGACAAAGACATATGGAACAGCTAGAGGAACCTCAGTGTGTTAAAAATAGAAATAATCCCTTTTGCCCTAAACCTAACCCTCTTTCCAAATTCCCTATTTCTGTTGATGGTATCACTATTCTTCTACTTGCCCACACTTGAAACTTTGGTGGGCTTTGAGTCTTTCCTTTCTTCGATCTATGTAGGCACCAAGACCTACCCATTCTTTGGAAACATGTATTGCATCCATCTTTTCTTTTTGTCTCCTGAAGTACAGGCCCTCAGTACTGGCCTCACCTGGGCTATGACAGCAGCCTTGTCTCCCTGCCTTCTCTCTCTCTTCTCTCCAAGTCATGCTACTCCCCTGCTGTCAAAGCAGTCTTCCCAAAGCCAGACATTGGTCACCTCCTCGTCTCAGAAACCTTCCACAATTCCTCATTGCTGATGGGATTGAGTCCAGACTCTTTCCTGGCATGCCAGGCCCTCTTGCAGCCCTAGCTCAAACCCTCTGTTCCAGTCAGACTAGCAGTATCCCCTGAAATGGGCTTGGCTCAGTCTTGAAGCCAACTCTTTGCCCATAATAATAGTTGCATTTGTATAGAGATCTGAAGTTTATGCAGTGGCCCTGAATGAAAGAAGTGGTGCAGGTATTCATATTTAGAGGAAACTGAGGCTCTGAACTGGGAGGGAGCAGTTTTGAAGCTCATATTCCTATGGAATGCTAAAGTTTACGAGGCATTGAAAAAAATTTTGGTCATAACCACCCCATAAGGTACAAGAGTTATCCTCATTTTACAGATAAGGAAACTGAGGCACCCTGATCAGATTTGCAGATGATGTAAAGGAAGGAGGGATGGCTAACCCAGTGGATGACAGTCAGGATCCAGAAAAAATCTTGGCAGTCTGGAACATTGGGCTGAAAATGTATTAAGATGAAATTTTAAGAGGAATCAGTATAAAGCTACCATTTAGGTCTAAAAGGTTGGCTTCAAAAGTAGAAGATGGGGGAAGCATAGTTAGACAGCAGTTTGTCTGAGAAAAGATTTGGGTGTTAGAATGGATAGCAGAACTCGATATGAGTCATCAGGGTGAGATGGCAGCTAGGAGAAAGTTAGTTTGATCTTAGGCTGGTTAAGAGGTTTGCTTCCAGAAATAAGGGGGTAGCCTCTGCTCTGGTCAGATCATATCTGGAACATTGTGTTCAGTTCTTACAAAGAACATTGGTAAGCCAGAATGACTAGATGGGATGGTGAAAAAACATGAGTTTATGCCATTTTTAAGATAGAGAACTGTTTAGCCCGGAAAAGGGAAGAGTGAGGGGGGAGACATGATAGTATACTAAGTATTTGAAGGGCTGTCACGTGGAAGTGGGGGCAGCTAGGTCATGTAGTAGATAGAATGCCAGATGTGGAGTCAGAAAGACCTGAGTTCAAATCTGGCCTCAGATACTTACTAGCTGTGTGACCCTGGGCAAGTCATTTAACCCTGTTTGCCTCAGTTTCCTTATCTGTAAAATGAGCTTTGCCAAAAAAAAAAAAACCCAAATGGGGCCAAGAAGAGTTGGACATGACTGAAACAACAAAACAACAAATAACAGCATTTGGGAAAGGGCATTAGCTTTTTTTTCTTTAGGATCAATGAAGTCATAAAGAGGCTCAGATTGTTCATAAGTCTTCCCTTGCGTCAATTTGAGTTTTCCAAAAGTGGGAATGGGGCTGCCTTAGGAGATAGTATGTCACCCTGCCCATCATTGAAAGTTTTCAAATATCAGTCCTGGGTTAGACTGCAGAGCCTCTAAAGTCCCTTCCAACTGTGACATTCTGGGATGAAGTTGCATGTGACTTGTAGGTGGTCACAGTGCTAGCATCTGTCAGGGCTTAACCTCAGAGCCTGGTCTTCAGACTCCAAGCCCAGGGCTGTTTCCCCGTGTCACATTGCCTCCTGTGCATCCTTCCCACTCCATGCCTTTCCTCTTGCCCTCTCCCTATCCAGATGGTTCACCCCCACCCAACCTTCAGGGCCTAGCTGAAGTTCCACCTTTTCCTTGATGTGTTGCCCAACTGTTTCAGGCCTTGTTGAATTGAGCCCTGTCTCTTTGCACCCCAATGACACTGCTATGTATCCTACTTATTTTGACACCGGATTTTAGAGGGTCTTCTTGTCTCAGTCTGTCTCTGAGGTTTTGGAACTGAAAGGAGGCCCAGTAGCATCTAAAGCATCAGACTTTTATTATGACCTTCACACAAAGGAAGGCTTAAGACCCAATATGAGATGCCTGGAGTTAAAGGCAGGGACATTAAAGGATACAATCAGGGAAGTTAGAGGATGCTTGTATACAGTGGTCTTCAGACAACAGCATAAACAGAGGAAGTCAACAGCATCCCCACAAGAGACTTGGCAAATACAGATTCTGCAGAACTCTTGTCCCTCTTCCTAGCGGCAGACACCAGGGCCCTTTGTCTCCTTCATACCATGATGACTCAATGACACAGGTTAAGGCCATGAGTTTTATAGGGAGGGAGCAGGTTGTCACCTAAGCATATCTCATGGGTTCCTCTCTTCTATGTCGCAGACAAGGAGACACCATGGATAGTTCTAAGCAAGGGGAAGTCCCTGCTGTATAAGCTTGGGCCATGGAAAATCTGCTAAAATTTGCAGGGCGTAAGGCAGGAAGAAAGAAGGTGTGTCTGGAGCAGCAGTAAAGCCCCATGGGATCTCAGAGAAGCCAGGGGTTTTGGACTATCATAGTGGGCTGTGACTAGCATTTCACATTTATGTGTTCTATCTCCCCAACTAGAACATAAGTTCCTTGAAGACAGAGACAGTGTCTTATATTTCTTTTATATTCTCCACCACACCAAGCCATGGTGGGTGCACAGTAGAGGTGCCATAAAGACCTAAGAGACTGAGAAAATAATTCAACACAGTAATCCATCAAATATTAGGTTATGTGGTAGAGACTCTAAGTGCTAGAGGTCTTGAGGGAAGGGATGGATCGGTGTAGGCAAGAGTTCTAATTACAACCAACATTTCATCCCCCCCCCCAATATTCTTTTACTCATTTAACAACCAGTGGAGTAGTTGTGGAAGGCTTCATAGTAGGGCATGCACTGGGCTTTAGGGGTTGAGTAGGATTTGCAGAGGAAAGGACAGTGAGAAGGGCCCATGACTTTGCTCCACTCTCTGCTCACGATCTCATTAAAGCCTATTCGACTCCAAGGTTCTAGCTAGTTCCCCCCATAGCTCTGAAGGAACGTGTCTGATGAGAAAGCATTTTCAGTTCCTGCACAACTCTGAAGTGATTTCATGGGCCAAGGGCCATAGCATCAAAAGCCAGAGAAAGGATCCAGCTGGCACACGTTTCACCTGTCCTCGTTCCTTGTTCCTTGCAGTAGGCAAGAGGCAAGCAGAGCTGGTGATAGGAGGTGTCCAAAGCTTATGACTTAGAGGAGGAGGAGGAGGAGAAGGCTGGGGGGGGGGGGTCAGAGCACAGGCTTCTGCGCATATAGAAGACTTGTGAAGGGGAACTACACATGCAGGGGGTAGGGTCTTTGTCAAGGCCTCCATTGGAGAGAGATCTTTGGGGTCCCAGACAGGGTGTGGGAGCAGTCAAGTCAAGCATTTATTAGCACCGTGCTAAGGGCACACAAAGAAAGACCAGAGCACCCCTGCTGTCAAGGAGCTCACAGTCCAATGGGGGTAAATGACTATGTCCACACAAGGTACTTACAGGATAAATTGGAGGTAATCAACAGAGGAAAGGTATTGGCCGTGTGGCAGAAGGTGAGACTTTAGCTGAGCAGCATGGAGGCTAGCTCGAGGCAGGTGTTCCTCATGGCAGAGCTTCATATGGTTCTTGGTCTCCTTTGCTTCTCCAGGTCATGTTTCCTTACACCAGCAAAAGCTGTATGCGTGCTGTGCTGGAATACCTCTACACGGGCATGTTCAGTGCTAGCCCTGACCTGGACGACATGAAGCTAATCATCCTTGCTAACCGGCTGTGTTTGCCTCACCTGGTTGCACTCACAGGTAACTTGGCTTATCAGGGACCCCCCATGCCCCCACAGACACACACACCAGCAGAAGGATCTGAAAAGCTTTGCATGCATTCCCCACCCCCCCCTCACCCCCCGCCACATAGCTGCCTCTGGTTACTGTGGCCCACCAGTGCACCTTGTAGTTTGAATTTACAAAGGCTGTTTATTTCCTGCTGTGTTTCTAGTTGGGGCGGCTGCTACAAGGTGAGGAGTACTATTGGGACTATGGACTCATTCTTTTGTCAGCTAGGTGGGGCAATGGATAGAGTCAGGAAGTCAGGAAGACTCATTTTCACGAGTTCAAATCTGATCTCAAACACTTACTAGTTGTATGACCCTGGGCAGGTCACTTAACTCTGTTTGCCTCAGTTTCCTCATCTATAAAATGAGCTGGAGAAGGAAATGGCAAACTGCTCCAGTATCTTTGCCAAGAAAACCCCAAATGGAGTCACGAAGAGTCAGACACACTGAACAACAACTCATTCTTTTATAATAGCTATACTTCTAATAAGCATGACCAACTAAGTTTAAAAAAAAATAACACTAGCTAGTATTTTTAAAGTGCTTTAAGATTTGCAAAGTGCTTTACAAATATTGTCTGATCCTCACAACACCCCAGGGGCTAGGTGCTATAATTATTCCCATTTTATGAATGAGGAAACTGAGACTGAAAGAGGTTAAGTGACCTGCCCAGGGTCACACAGCTAGTAAGTGTCTGAGGCCAAATTTGAACTCAGATCTTCTGATTCCAAATCAGATGCTCTATCCACTGTGTCATCTATCTGCCTCAATTTTGCTTTTTCTATAAAAATGGAACTTATTAAAATGGATGACATAAACATTTACTAGGAGTCCTTTTTAGAAATAATTTATTTATTTTTAGTTTTCAATATTCACTTCCATAAGATTTTGAGTTTTAAATTTTCTCCCTTTCCCCAAGATGGCATGCAATCTGATATGGGTTCTACTTATACATTCATATTAAACATATTTTCACATTAGTCGTGATGTGTAAAAGAATTAGAACTAATGGGTAGAACCACAAGAAGAAGAAATAAAACAAAACAACAAAAGAAAAGGAGAACAAATAGTATGCTTCCATCTATCAAAGTCAGTCATCACACAGTGTGGCTGTTAACGGTGTACAACGTTCTCCTGATTCTGCTCACTTCACTCAGCATCAGACCATACGAGTCTTTCCAGGTTTTTCTGAAGTCCTCCAGCTTACCGTTTCTTATAGCACAATAGTATTCCATTACATTCATATACCACAATTCCCCAGTGGATGGGCATCCCCTCAATTTCCAATTCTTTACCACCATAGAAAGAGCTGCTATAAATGTTTTTGTACACATGGGTCTTTTTCCTATTTGTATGATCTCTTTGGGATAGAGCCCTAGAAGTGCTATAGTTTTATAGCCCTTTGGGCATAGTTCCAAATTGCTCTCCAGAGTGGCTGGATCAGTTCACAACTGCACCAGCAATGCCTTAGTGTTCCAGTTTTCCTACATCTTCTCCAACATTTGTCATTTTCCTGTTTTGTCACTTTAGGCAATCTGATAGGTGTGATGTGATACCTCAGAGTTGTTTTGATTTCCATTTCTCTAATCAGTAGTGATTTAGAGCATTTTTTCATATGACTTCAGTTTCTTCCTGTGAAAACTGCCTATTCATATCCTTTGACCATTTATCAATTGGGGAATGAGTTGTATTCTTATAAATTTGACTCAGTTCTCTGTTTCAGAAATGAGGCCTTTATTAGAGACATTGGCTATAAAAATTGTTTCCCAGCTTTCTGCTTCCCTTCTAATCTTGGTTACATTGGCTATGTGCAAAATCTTTTCAATTTAATGTAATCAGTCTTCTATTTTGCATTTCATAATGTTCTCTGTCTCTTGTTTGGTCATAAATTCTTCCATTCTCCATAGATCTGATAGGTAAACTATTCCTTACTCTAGCAGTTATTTTTTTAAAGGATCATATAATACAATTTAGAAGAAGATTTAAAGAAACAAATGCTTAAGTATAACTTAAGTGTATCATTCACTAATTTTCTGCTGATATAATATAATCCTGGTTTCACCCTAAGTTTGAGTAGATTTCAGTAGTTTTCTCCTGACCTTTTTTTTTTTTTGGCTTGCAAGGTTTTGTTCTTGGCTCTGGGACCCTAGCTACCTTTGCCAGGTATCTAAGCCCCTACAGCCTTTCTCTTTTTATAGCTATAAAAGAGAGCACGAAAGAGCACTGTGGCACCTCTTACAATCTCATGGACAATGCATGTGTTTGTATGAGCATCTGTCTGTGCGTCCAGTACCCTGACTGAGTCCTGTGGCTTATTTGTCACAGAACAATACACGGTGACTGGACTGATGGAAGCCACGCAGATGATGGTGGACATAGATGGAGATGTCCTTGTGTTCCTGGAACTGGCTCAGGTAACCGGGGCTGGGAGAGTGCTAATTACTCAGCACCATACTTATGAATTGGGGCCATCTGTGTAAAGGATAGAGTGGCGTAGAGGAAGCAAACCCAATGGCGAATTTGGTTCTCTGCAGTGCCCCCTATCTGGTGCATCTCCTGAGCCTATGCACTCAACTATGCCTGGCACGCAGCAGAAAAGGAGCCCTCCTAGAGGTAGGAGAGACGGAGGGCTCGGTCTTGAGGACTCGGTGGATGGGAGGCAGGACCCCCTACCTTTGAGGCGTAGGCAGACTAGCTGCTTGTACAGTGTGCCCTGGAAATAACTTCCCACAAAACAGTGCCTGAAATACACCTATTGGGATTAGTTTCTTTGGGTCAAGGCATTAGATGTAACAGCCAGCCTATGTCAGTCAGCAACATCTTAGTGTACATTAAACAGATCCCTTTCCAGTTTGATGGCTGACATATGTGGGGGGGGGCGGTAGAGAAGAGAAGGAAGGGATTGAGAACGTAGGACACAGTTGGGAAAGGCAGGCCTAGGTCATTGAGTCAGTAGGACGTTTGCTGGTAGATGTCATGTAGGGAAATCAAGGTGATTTTGCCCAAGCCAGGGAGATATCTAGAGTCCTATGATGTCTCTGCCCCTTGTCCAGGACCCAAAAGTGTCTGTAATGAAACCACTGTAGTATCTGGTTAAAAATGATTGCTGTGTTCTCTTCATCTTCCAGTTCCATTGCGCGTACCAGTTGGCTGACTGGTGTCTCCACCACATCTGCACCAACTATAACAACGTCTGCCGCAAGTTCCCCCGAGATATGAAGGCCATGTCTCCGGGTGAGTGCTTACGGCCCCAGTTCCCCACCCTCTTATGCCTACTTTGTCCCTCCTCAGTAACCAAGGGGCCGTTAAATTCATGCCCAAACCTCTGTTCTGGTCCCAGGAATACTAGAAAACAGCAGTCCAGTCTTTAATAATAACAACAGTTAACATTTATATAGCACTTACCAAGGGCCAGGCACCGAGCTAAGTGCTTTACAATTATTCTCTCATTTGAGCCTCGCAACAATCCTAGGAGGTAGTTGCTAGTATAGTTCCATTTTATAGAAGAGGAAATTGAGGCAAACAAGTTAAGTGATTTGTCCAAGGTCATACAGCTAGTACGTGTCTGAGGCTGGACTTGAACTCAGGTCTTTCTTAGTCCAGGCCCAGTGCTCTATCCACTGAGCTACCTCAGAGCACTTAAACCACATATACTGGCTATTTGGTATGGGGGTCATTGGATCCTATGATTTTGAGTTGGAAGAGACCTCTGAAATCTTCAAATCTAGGAGCAACCATTTCTGGATTGAGAGTGCCTGCTTGTGCTGAGAAGGTGGTGGGTGGCAGAGCCCAAGACCCGTTCCATATTACAGGAGTGCAGCCCAGTCCAGGCCAGGGGTTCTGGGGGTGCTCATGAGAGGAAACCCGAGGAAGGGGAGATGAACTGGAAAAGAAGGACAAGAGACCAAAGCGTGGCCTAGGGTGGGGATGGGAAGGGGGACGCGCAAATAAGATAGGAAATAAATATTCCAGGATGAGTAGGTCATAAAGACTTCTGTGACTGGTACTCCGCCCAGGGTGGTGTAGTAGAAAGAGCATGGAATTTTGAAGCCCAAAGAACTGGGTTCAGATCCTGACTCTGCTACTCATTTATTTTCTATGTCACCTTGGACAAGTTATTTCTCCGCTCTGAGCCTTGGTTTTCTCATCTTCAAAATGAGGGCATTAGACTTAGGTGATCTGCCCAAGGTTTAAAGCTGGAAAGCTTTAAATTCTAGGATCAGTTTGGACCTAATTAAACAGATGAGGTCCAAAGAGTTAAATGACTTGCCCACAGTCCCAAAGCAATTAAGTTTCTGAGGCAGGATTCAAACCTGGATCTTCCTGACTTCAAGTCCAGTATCCCGACTACTATGCCAGACTGCCTCCCAAGGCATCCTTCAAGGCCAAGTACATACTTTACCTGTCCAATGAAGCCTTTCTTGGTTGCCCATCTTGGAAGCACTGTCCTCCCTTTTTTTTTCTTAAGGCAATTGGGGTTAAGTGACTTGCCCAGGGTCACACAGCTAGTAAGAGTCAAGTATTTGGTCTGAGGCTGGATTTGAACTCGGGTCCTCCTGAGTTCAGAGCCAGTACTCTATCTGCTGTGCCACCTAGCTGCCCCTGTCCTCCTCTTCTGAACTCTGATGGCAATAGTGTCTGTCACTCTCAAGCTACTTTACATCTGGTATATATGTTTTCTTCTAGGCTAGGAACTTCCTGTCGGCAGGCACCATGTCCATTAATCAGTCTGTTTCCCCAAAGTGTCAGTTGCACACCCAGGAGGCAGTCAATAATAGTTGTCGATCACATAACTGAACCATCTTCTGGGAGCTTTGAAGGAGTATGTTTAGATGTTAGGTGGCTCCTGGCTTTCCTTATTGTAACCCATCCCCATTGTGTTCTCCAGAAAACCAGGAGTACTTTGAGAAGCATCGGTGGCCACCTGTCTGGTACCTCAAAGAGGAAGATCATTACCAGCGAGCCCGGAAAGAGCGAGAGAAGGAAGACTACCTGCACTTGAAGCGGCAACCTAAGAGGAAGTGGCTCTTCTGGAATGGCCCCTCATCTCCTTCCTCCTCTGCAGCCTCCTCTTCATCTCCCTCCTCCTCCTCAGCCGTAGTTTGAGAGCTGCCTCAACCCTCCCAGGACGACTCCACTGCTATTCTCTCCTGTCCACCTGCTCTAGCCCCTTCAGTCCCCCTTTATCTGCGTTTCCCCCCCTTCCCCTCACCAGGGACAAGAGGACCTAATCCACTAGGCCCATGAGGGTGGAGCAGATAACACCAGCCAAACCATTTCAATGGAAGAAAGGCGAGGCTCTGGTGAGAGGCATGGGGACTAGCTGAGGATGGGAAGGAGCCAGAGCTTCCCAGGACTCCCCAAAGGAGGCAGCAGAGACAGCCAGCACTTCAGTCATCCATCCTCTTTTTTCCCATTTGGGATTTGGAACCCTAGTCATGGCTGGAGATCCATGAGCCAAGGGAATCCAAGACATCTGGGTTTATGGGAAGTTGTGATTTTTGTAGAGGGCTTCTATTTTGATTGGGGGAGAGAGGGTCCCAAATGCCTTGGTGAGGAGAGAACAAGGTTTCTCCCAGAACTGACTGACGTTTTTCCAAAGGACTTGTAGTTCGCAAATGTGTTGGGGGAAAGTTCACTTGGGGCCAAGTCAAGCGCCACAGTCCCCCACCCCCTCTTTGTAAACCAGGGTTGGACTTGTCCTCACTCCATCACTAGAGCTGCTCATTTTGAAGAGTGTCTATTTGATGAAGATGGCAGGAGGGCTAAGAGGGCCTTCTCCCACCCATCACCCAGGCATTTTACAGGGGGCCTTGTAGCCCAGGCAAGCCCCTGGTGTCTGAATACAGCTATAGCTGTTCAAAGCTCAGCAAGCTAGAAATGGTGATGCCAGTGAGAAACTCTTCACTGCTTACCTTCTTCCACAAGGCTGAGAGAAAACAGAAACCAACAGGAATAGGTAGGAGTGAGTAGGAAAAGAAGGAAGGTAGAAGGGAGTGAGGGTCTGTGTTCAACAGCTACAGTTCACAGGACCTAGAACCAGAAAGGGCTATAGAGATGATCTAGTCCCACTTCAACAGGTCTAGGGAGTTTAGGTGACTTACCTAATGTCACACAGGTAGTTTGTGGTAGAGCTAGGATTCAAACCCAGGTACTTTGTCACTACATCATACTCTTCCCAACCTCTGGTCAGAGAGCCCAGCTTTTTTTTTTGGGGGGGGGTTACAAGGAGAGACAGAAATAACTAAAATTCCCCCAAAATCCTCCACAAATTCTATGGAACCAAAAGCAGAAAAAGATACTTTACATCCTTTATATTAAGCCAAACAAAAGCCACTGAGGCCAAGAGAGAAGGTTGCTAGAGAAGAAAGAAAGGACTGGGTTGTGAGAATAGCTCTGCAGCCAGCTCTCCAAGTGGAAAGGGCTTCACCTCTGCTGTTTCCTGCCTTTAGGGAGCCCTGGAGTCACTGACTTAGTGGGGGAGGTGGTTCAGATGGGCTAGAGGTGAATTCTTGGCCCTTGGAAGCCTAGTGATCAACACCTGCCCGCAATGGCTTCCGTGTCCTCCCGGGCTGACCCTTTGGTTTTCCCTTCCCTAAGAGTGAAAGTCACACACCTGGTCTTTACTGGGTGGTACCATGGGGTACTTTGTGTTGTGTGTGTATATGTGTGTGTGTGGGGGGGGGGGGAATTAATTGAGAGGAGTTAGGGAACTGGCTTTTCTTTAAATTTATGGCATCTTCCACTCCTCCCCCGCCCCTCAATTTGGGAGAGTGGAAAAAGGATAGTGTGTAGATCAGGACAAGAGGCCACTGTTTTGAGAAACAGAGCAGGGTTGTGGTTCTAGGGAGGGGAAGGGGGTGATAAGAGAGCCTGCAGCCCCCATGGAGCAAAAGGAGGGCTGGCAAAGCTCCTTTCTCAATGTTCCTTTCCCTGACCCCTTTCCTTAGTAGCCTTAGTATTAAGGCCTAATTAGTAGCTAGTATTTTTGTTGGCTCTAAGTTTTTAAACAGGGGCCTGGGAGGTAGGGGGGGAACCCTTCAGAGACTGACTGCCCCTTCTGGGCAGCTGTGGGAGGGGCCCACCTGGTAGTCTGATGTCCTAGTATGTTTCCTGGGCTCCATAGGGCTGGTGGGGAAAAGGAAGCCCTGGGATGTCAAGAATTGGGTCTAGTCCAGGCTGGATTGACCAGCCTGTTTAGCTTATTGCAGAGCAAACTTTGTTCCAGACGAACAGTTAAACTGTGGGGACCACTAGAGCTCTGTTTTTCATGTATACTCTCTGCCCCAAGGTTCATTTCCCAAGCTGACTGGCCACCTTGGTGATGTGCTGCCCTCCGCTGGCCTTCTCTCCCTATATGCCCAGGCACAGGGGAATAAGGCTGGTGCTGTGTTGACAAATGCTGCTGTACCCTTAGTTTCTCCTTAAAAGAAAAAGGGCAAGTACAGTATGGTGTGATTACAAGCATCCCTACATAGGGGCAGGGTAGAACTGATCTTCACAGGGCCTTCATGAAGCCCACAGACCCCCCGTGGCAGAAAGGGGGGGACAGGGTGATGACTTGCCCAACAAAATAGGGAGGTTTCCAGAGTTTTCAGGTCTGTGTTTGGAGTAAGAGGATAGGAAGTCGGTTGAGGGAGAAAGGAAGGACCCAGCCAAATGATTGGAGTTTCCTGATTGGAAAAAAATGACTTCTTCCTTTCAAAGGTTTTTTTCCTAGATGGGCCTGGATAGAGCCTAGGAAGAAGAGAGAAAAAAAGGGAAACATAATGCCCAGTGAAGGACAGTTACTCCCTCAGGGATCCCTCTCCCCTTCTCCCCTGCTGTGCCCTCAGAGCCAATTTCTATCACCCTCTGGTCCAGTTTGTGGCCTGGGGTACCAACCTAGCTGAACCAGCCCTTAGAGGGTAGACAAACTCTGACCCCTAGCTGGAAAAGCAGATATATACCTCTCTGCTGGGGGAAGAGATGGAGACGTTGCCCTCACATCTCCTCGGGCTTTGAGATGAATTCCAAGAGTTGGCATGAGTTAACGTAACTCGCCCATGCAGGGCATGGTTGACCAAATTACAGAGGCAAGAACTGATGCTACTCATTGGGAGGTGGGAGGGAAGAAGGAGAAAAAAAAACCCTCTTTTTATACAAGGTTTCATATTTAATTTGAGCATAAATTCATAAATACATAACTTTTATACACAATGCCATTGTTTTGTTCTTGCTCTTCTGCAAAGACATTGAGTTACCTGAACCAATTCTGAGAAGACAGAGATGCAAGAAAAAATATGTTCCTTCCATTTACAATTACTTGATTGGTAACAAAACATTTCTTCTCACAATAAGTGCATAAAAGGTTCCCATTTTGCAGATGAGGGAACTAAATTCAGAGACAGTCACAGCTGTTCTGTGGTAGGATCAGAATTCAGAGATCCCCTAAACTTGAAAAAAAACTATTCCTGAGATATGTGTGATCCCTTATCCCAGGCAGTAGGGCCTGATTGAGCAGCAGGACACAAATTTCAAATTTCTCTGCAAAAGCAGCTTAGTTACTCAAGGGTGGAGGCCAATCACCCTTTGTTTTGTTTTGTTTTGTTTTTTCCTGCTTATCACTCTACACCTCCAGCCAAGGGAGACAGATTAGGTAAAATCTACTCACATTGTAACAGGGGACTAAAGAACATTCATCAAGAACCTGCCATGTTCTAGGCATGGGTTTTTATGTCAGCTATGGTGACGTCCATACTAAGGGAGAAGACTATATGGCTTAGAAATTTGAAAAACAAAATGAAAAAAAAATTCCAAATACCAACATTCTTGTTCTACACAGTCACAATGAGATCTCTAACCAGAAACTAGCCACCTCAAAGGGTCCGGCTCAGCCATATAAATTGGGGGACTATACTAGTTCAAAGTGCAAGAAAACTAGTGCTGACAAAAAGCTGGTCTGTCCAAATCCTTTTTCTCAAAGAAACAGACCCAGAGTAAAGTGACTTATTAGGGCACAGCAGTTTCTGTTTAATGAGCACTAGAACCTGGTCTTGTGCTTATACCGACCAGGCCACAGTGAAATAATACTTATTAAACTAAAAAAAAAAACCCAACACATATTTGATAGTTTTCAAAGTGCTTTTGAATGCTATCACATAACATGCATAAATAAAAAAAAGACATGTTACTGTCTCCATTTTCACAAATTTAAAAGCTAATGATCAGACAAGTGAAGTCACCTGCCTGTCACACAATACTACGTTTGACTTCACATCTAGAGTCATAGTGTTTTTCCCACTGCGAGGGATAGTAAAAAATAACCCTTTTTTATACCACTTTTAAAACATTCATTAAATTTTAAAAAATACATTTTCTAATTTACTTTTAAAAAATTGTAGAATAAAAACACTACTGTGTATTTTAAGCCCTGAATCAAAACTTACATTAGCAGATTGATAGTAAATTTGTAATACTGTAGTGATGTAAATCCTTGGGCTATACAAATATACAAAAGTAGAAAAATGTAAACATATGAAAAAGTCACAGGCCATAAAATATAGAAATACATGGAAGGCAGCTGTTGGCCTACTTCCTTCAAGAAACTCACATTTTCAAGACCTCAACTTGATCTGTCCCAAGAGGGTACCATAGGAGAACATCCTCAGAGGTCAGGTTATTTTTACATAACTTTCATACCTGGTTATTCTGTGACTCCTCCAAAGTTAATGTATTCACAGAAGGAGGAGAAAGGCAAAATGTGATGATACCTGTGACCCCCTCCACCCTTCTGTCAGTCTTAGTTTGGCTTCTTGTCCTCTCTTTCCTGGTAGACATAGAGCTTGCTTTTGATGAGTTCGTCATGGATGGTTTCTCGGGCAGCCCTCTGGTGTATCTTGTCCAGGGTCTGCAGCAGGCAGTCCACAGTAGCCTCCTTTCCAGTTTTATTCAGCCACGCCATAAGCAAGCTATGTGGCTGGTCCTTGATGTTACTCTCCGCTGCTCTGGCTAATTGGATCTCATTCTGGCTCAGCCCCAGCTGCCTCATATACTGCTTCCAGCAATCCCAGGGCACCTCCTGTTCAAAGATAAAGAAAGACTTCTCCAAAGCTGGAGAAGAAATAAAGTTGTGGAGGCAGCTAGTTGGGGTGGGGAACAGAGAGAAGACTTCTATGGTTATGAGACTAGAGTCAATGAGGCTAGCTGACATAGGATACTAATCAGTCATCAACAATTACTTTGGCCATGTTGGAAGGTAGGAGGCAGGGTATGCTGAAGGGGACTGAAAAACCCCCAGTTAAAACAAAATTTAAGACATGGCTACTGCCCTCACAGGGCATGCAGTTTAGCTAGAGAAAACACAGCAGTCTGCTGTGGCAAATGCCAAATGAATGCTATATACCGTGAGTACTTCAAGAATTCGGGGAGGAGGCAGTCATTGTGGGTTGGCATGGGTTCAGACAGGCAGGCAGTGGAGAAGAATAACAGAAGGAGGCTACGGGAAACATACTGAGCTTTTCTGAGGTCTTTTCAACTTTAGGTTTCAATAACTCAGCAGCAATCATTACTGCTTGGGCCCTGCACATTCATTCCTGCAGGACCCCACCCCAGCAGCACCAAGCGGAGAAATTTAAGGGGACGGTGTCAAACACTCAGCCCTTGCAGCCCACAACAGGAACCAGATTAAGATGGAATTGGGAAATACTTAGTAAAATAAATAAAAATATAATTCAACATGGATGACATTACATTTTAAAACTAAATTAATAGGCAGCCTAAAGGGATCCTTATGTATGCTGGTTGTGTCTATTTGTGTTTGACATCACTGGTTTAGGGTATCCCCTTCAGGCCCTCTGCTCCCTGGCATTCATCCCACACCTAAGACTTTTAAAAGAAAAAGAGAAAAAAAAAACCCTTACTCCTGATGTGGTCACCATCAGCTGGAAAGAGTGACTTTGGATTGGCCAGAGGTGCTTCTGCCTGGCCCTGCAAGAGGAAATGGGAAAAGCAATGGAAGTCAGGAGGCCTGGGCACCCAATTCTGTGTACTATGTGCAGTGTACTGAATAAAAAAGGTCTCTGCACTTCTCTAGGACTCAAGTTTCCTCAACTGTAAGACAGGGAGAGAGAGAGTTATACCTATCCTGCCCATCTCAAAGGGGTCATGAGAAGTACCAGAGAAATGTAATATTGAGTCTACACTTCTCACAACTAATTCCTTCTCCCCTCAACTCCTATCTAATTCTACTACGAGAGTACCCCATCTCTGCAGGAAGACGCAGTTCAGGTCCATTCTCCTCATTCTTGGGGAACCTTGTCTGCCCATTGACGTGACCACCATGTTCTCTGGACATATGGTGAGGGTGGCAGTCTCTACTTCAAAGGCACCATGTAGCCAAGAAGCCACAAGGGACGGTACAATGAAGTGCTAGGGCCTTGTAAGTAGGTTTTACTACATATTAATAATAATAGCTAATAGCTAGTATTTATATAACACTTGAGAACTTGCAAAGTGCTTTAGAAACATTATCTCATTTATCCTTACAACAACCCTGGGATGTGAGGGGGGAGAAGTGCTATTATTATCCCCATTTTACAGATAAGGAAACTGAGGCAGAGATTAAGTGACTTTCCAGGGTCACATAGCTAATAAGTGTGGGAGGCTGGATTTGAACTCAGGTCTTCCTGATTCCAGGTCTAGTACTCTATGCACTAGGCCACCTAGCTGCACTGTGTGACCTTAGGCAGATCACTTGATTTGTCCAGACCTCAGTTTCTTCATCTGTAAAATGGAGGTGGAGGGAGGGTGGAGGGAAGACAAGGTGACTGCTGAGGTTCCTTTTTCAGCTGTAACTCTCTGATTTGATGATCCTACTCACCGGATGATGCCCATTCGCTGTTGCAGTCTTGGGAATGGTTATAACTTCCTCCAACAGCCCCTTACATTCATTGCCTTGATTCTCAGGGGAATTTGCTTGGCTCTGGTGATCACTCTCAGTGTGTTCATTACCCCAAGCATCAGGATGCTGTGGGTGACAGCTGTTCTGCAGGAGTGATAGCAAGTATCCCTTACCATAGAAAAGGAGGTAGTCAGATTTCAGAAGTCACAGGCCCACAGGGCTGGGCGGATTCTCTATAACTGCCCCAAAGTGTAAGGTTTGTTCTCTTTTTCCCCTATCAGGTGCCATGCATGCCTGGCCCAGGGTGGAGTACAGGGCTGCCTGGCAGGGAACGCTCAGAAAGCACCCAGTGTAAACTCTTTGGTACTGACCTATCACCCTGGGGGAGTCTAGGCTATACTTATATTTCCAAAGCAGGGAGAGGGGAGGTATTGGGGGGAGGAGATTGGTGTTACCAGCGACAGGGCAAAGGATATGTGGGTGTCAGGGAAGGGGTGGGGAAGAGAGGAAGCTGTAGCTCTCAAAAGGTCCATGTGTCACCTCCAGCACCGTCCCAGAGATTGAGGTTCCTGCTTGGGAACTATTTACAGAAACCCTTGAATGTTCAGTGGGTTGACCCAGCAATGTGACCCCAAGTGATACTGCCTGAGGCAAAATGGCCAAGCAAGGACACTGAAGAAATGTATACAATTTTGGACCCTGAAAGATGTGCACCCCAGATGTGCCGCAGTGAGTGCAGGGGAGACATCCCCAAACCCATTTATAAGTGTCTCTCACCTTGATGTTCAAAGGATTCCTCAAAGATGAGTTATCAGCTAGAAAGGAAGGAAAACACGCCTGATCAGGGGAAGCTCTCCGTCTTTCCAACAATATCCCACCAGGATGCAGGATGGTACTGGGTATAGAGGGAGCTTATGATAACCAGCTATCACTTGATCAAGTGAAGAGGGGCAGAGGACAGGAGAAAGGGTAGCTTTTCTAGCTCTCTGGATCTAATTGGGATGTGAGGGGGAAAAAAAACCAAACAAACCAATCTTAGGAACTTAAGGAGTTTAAGGAGACTTAGCCAGTCAAAAGGAGGTAGATTTCAGAAGTCACAGGCCCATGGGTGATGCATCTGTATAACTACCCCCAAAGGGTGAGGTTTTCTCAAGCAAGGGGAGAGATATCACCGAGGAAGGGGAGAGATATTGACCTCTCCAGGCCTGCATTTCCTCATCTGCAAAATTCTAGCTCTAAATCCGTGATCCTAAGATCCTTTCACACTTCTTCTATCCGAGCTTTGTGCTGCCTGTCCTGTCAATCAATCAAGCACAGAGCTTTTCAGGAAGCCTCCTACCTACCCAGCACTAGGCTCAGTGCTATGGGGGGAGGGGGCTGGGAGAGGAGCAAGGGCATAAATGAAGGCCTAGTGCCTGCCCGCACAGAACTGAACTGGAAAGACAAAACAGACAGGTATAAAGCAATTAGCAAATGATAAGAGACAATAAACAAAAATCAGCATACAGTCAAGTACTAAATTGTCTGGCACAGATGTGGCTTGTGGTAGGAACTGATGAAGGAGAGGTGAATAATGACTGGCATTTATATAACTCATTAAGGTTTACAAAGCACTTTACGTATATTATCTCACTTAAGCTTCACAACAATCCTGTGACATAAGTCTGATAGGTATTATTATTCCTATTTTACAGATAAGAAAACTCATTATATGGCTGAATAAAACTGGAAAGGCCACCTCTATGGATACCCTGCTGGAGACCCTCGGTGAGATACAACAGACACCATCCAGAACAATCTTGTAGCCATCTGCTGCCTACCAGAGGGAATGACTTGCTCATGGCTACATAGGTCATAAGCATCAGGGACGGGATTTGAACTCAGCTCATCCTAGGGCTGAGTTGACTGTCCAATCCATTAGATCACCTGACTTAATAAAGAAAGGCTGGGGATGGCTGGGGAAGGTTTCATGAAGGAGGCAAGGCTTGAGCTGGGTTTTGAAAAATGGATGTGCACAGGTGGAGAGGTAGGTATGTGTGTTGAAAGGAAAGGAAATGAGTTGGGAGGGGGACGGGGGAACAATACAGCATGTACAAGGGAACTTAGCCCACTCTTTATACCCCTCACCCCAGGAATATCTCCCTTACCTTCAGAAACAGCACAAGTATACCGGAAAAAACTGCCAAAAACAACCAGCATGATGAATAATGCTGCTGTCACCGATGCAACTGTTATCCAATAATTTCTTGTGTCTGAGGACAGAGAAGGAATGGTGAACATGTGTACTTAGATCACCTAGTCTCCACCAAATGCCCATACGTGCTTTGTGAGTACCTGATGGCAGAGGGTAGGCACACTCCAAGTCACTCCGAGGGCTGCAAGAGCTGATTTCTATCATCCCTTTGGGGCACCTGAGCATAAAGAAATAGGAAGGTCTGAACCACATGTAGGGAAAATCATTAAGAAAAAGGCAGAAGGGCCAGATTCAGAAGATGGGCAAGGAGAGATGCTGAAGCTGGGAACAACAAGTTAAATTGGTTTCAACCAGCAGGTGAGCCCTGAGGGCCTTTGGGGTAGATATACCCACTCAAAGCAGAATAGTGAAGTTGTTTTGGGAAGAGAAACAGGGTTTACAGATGAATGGCCAGACCCAGAAGTACTTGAAGAAAAGGAGGGAATGATGACTATTTGCAGGGAATAATAAAGGAGAAAAGGGACTGATGGAAAAGACTTTTTCTTTGCCTTCCACCAGAAATCCCCAGCTCTGGGGAGACCCTCACTGGGTCCTTACTTGGATTTGCACTTTTTGCAGATCTCGCAGGGATGGTCTTTCGGACAGAAGGTGCCAGACTTGCAATGACACTGGGTGTTCCGGGTGGCGTTACACGGCATTACCTCTTCCTGGTCTAGAGATACAGAGAATGACTTATGTCTGGAACATCACCTTCCCTTTCACTCTCCATGACTAGTAAGCTCCAAACTTCTCTATCTCCTCTGCTGCTCCAGGGCAATTCAGTTCAACCCAAGAAATCTTTATGGACCATCTTCTGTGTCCAGTATCATGCATAGGGATTAGGCCCTGTGTGGCGTGAGAGATTAGAGGCACCTGAGGAAATCTGGAGTACAGTGTCTGCCCGAGAAGCACACAGCTGGACACAGAGAGAGACTGCTAATCAGACACTGCTTTGTTTTTATTTTTCAAGGGCTGAGGTGCATGGCACTGACATAGAAGGTCATCAGCATGGGATGGAGTAACTGTAGAAGGTTTCATGAAGTAGGGAGCCCTTGATCTGGGCTTTAGAATATGGGTAGGGTTTGGGTGCCTGGAAGAAGGGGCAGAGCATCCTGGGTGGACATAAAATTGAGCGGGACTGAGTGCAGGATGCTGGCTCTTATATTGTAATGTAATACAACAAATACACACATATACAATACATACATGTGTACACAAATACACACATATATACATGCACATGCATAGGTATAGACATACATGCATATTTACCTATATGTATGCATTTATAAATGTATGTAATGTATTATATATTCATATGTGGTATATATTGTATTTTATGCATGTATGTGACTACATTACATTACATGAATAATATATACCATATAAAGCACAGTCCTTGGCATACAGTAGGTGCTTAATAAATGCTTGTTGACTTGAGCTCATTTACTAGTTGTTCTTGATACAGTGAGTCATATCAAAGTTTGGTTGTAAATATTTTGCACACTCAAAGTACAGGCGTTCGGGGGGATCCATGTAAAATCAGGATCATTGCAAAATGTACTCATTTTCAGAAGAGGAAGCATGGAGAAAAGCCAGACCTCTCAAATACAACATGTGCTACCTCGAACTCTGTCTACACTCATTTGCTGAGCTATCAACAGTTTCTTTTGATAGTGTATTATGGTTTTTTAATCATAGGAACCAAGTTCTAATGGCCAAAAGGTGTTTAGATTTAGACTCCCTCTCTGCCCTCTGCTGGTTAAGCGTAGAAATAATCTTGTAATTCAAGTTCCTTCATTTATGTTTCCCCAAACCCCATCCCTCCACCCCTCCCGTCCCCTCCAACTCTTTTAGAACCACACTGTTAGCACTGGGAAAGACTTCAGATATCACCTAAGTCAGCTCCTTCATTTGACTGATGAGGAAACTGAGGCTTAGTACTCTTTCCGTGATACTGCCCTGTCTCTACTCCAGCCTCGAGTTCTCCATTCCTAGTACCTGGCTTGCAGATTTGACAAGGAATACAGGAGGGAAGTCCGTTGGGGTACTCCGTAAAGTCTATGCCACTGTGGCAGGGCAGGCACTCTGCTGTTGTGTTAGGGATTGAAGCAGGCTTAAGATGTTTTCCTAGGAGACAAAAAGAGTAAGGTATGACTTTTTCTATGGTTCAATCAAATAGGACTTTAAGGGGTTCGAATTATGACAGCAGGAAAGTGTCATTAGCAAAATCAACTCTGAAACCCTCACTTTCCTCTAGTCATCTCCCCCCCCTTACAGGGCTTCACCAATTCGGGGTAACCTTCCCTTCCCCTAAAACTCCCCGCTCTTTAGCTTGTGCATTATCTTCCCCCAATTAGACTACGACTGGCAGGGATTATCTTAGGCCTGCCTTTCTTTGTATACCCAGCTCTTGGCATAGAGCCTGGCTTATAAATGTTTATTGAGTCTGACTCTGATGGACAAAGGGCTTGGAGCTCCTTCTGTGTGCCCAAGGCCCTAGGCATGGGCAGTGAGGACAAAAGACAGACAGCCACTTCAAGACAGGAGTTTATCCTCTCTCCTCTTCCAGAATATGAGGGGAAAGATGCAAAGAGGAAAGAGACTTTCATTCAGAATACCTGCTGGACACTGGACATCCAGGCCATGCCTCTGCCTTTGTTGAGTGTCTGCTTCGTGGTGAAATATCCCTGACTGAGTGGTGTTGACTGAACCAATGAGGAGCTGTGGAGAAAGAGAAACAAGGATTGGCATGAACCCAGATCCCCCCCTCTCCTTCTCTTGCCCATTCCACTCTCCATGCCTATATCACACTTGGTATGTGAAGTTCACCTTCTCCAATCACCCTACCTCCTTCTCTGCCTCCTCCTAGGGGTAGTATCAGTAACATTGCAAGGATGCATGCCAGACCTCCCCAGCACAGACTGTCCTCAATGCAATGTGACTACAGTTGAGCTGTCTGACATGGGAATCAGTATCATGTCCTCTCTAAGGGACCTTAGAGTGGGGTGGGAAACAAGAAACAAAAAAGTTTAATGTGTGAATAAAAGCCCATTTACTCAGGAATTTAATCAGGGATCCAGCTCAGAAATGTGCCTCTCAGTCCTTATCCTCTCCCTCCCCTAGCAATGACCTCCCTGTAAGAACCTCAAGTCCCTCCCCTATTTCTCCTTCTCATTCCCCACCCAAATTAGTCTTCAATGGTTAATTTAATAAAGACAATAAAAAGCAGAAATAGTCAGTGCTGAAGGGACTATAAAGAGAGGGGTACACTGATATACTGCTGATGGAATTGGTCCAGTCATTCTGGAATACAATTAGGAATTATATGAAAAAGTCACTGAGTTATTCATAAATTTTGACCCAAAGATATCTCAAATACAGTATAAAATTCCTTGAAGGCAGAGACCCTTTCATTTCTATCTCAGTGCATAGCAAATTAATAAATGCATTTATTAATCTACTATGTGGCAGGCGCCGTGTTAGATGCTGGGGGTACAAAGAATAAGACAATCCTTGCCCTCAAGAAGTTTGCATTCTAAGGGAGAATAGCAGTAGATCTCTAAGGATATATAAAATAAATATAAAGAGATTAAGCACAAATAAACATAAGGTAGTTGGGGGGAAGGGAACAGGCACTTATGAATCACCTAGTATGTGCCAGGTACTGTGCCAAGTGCGTTACTAATATTATCTCACTTGATTCTCACAACAACCCTGGGAGGCAAATACTATTATGATCCTCATTTTACTGTTGAGATAACTGAGGGAAATAGAAGCTAAGTGTCTTGCCCAGGGTCACACAGCTAGTAAGTATCTCAGGCCAAATTTGAACCCAGGTCTTCCTGATTCCAGGCCCAGTGATCAATCTTCTGCATCACCTAGCTACCCTCAAGGCAACCCTGGGGAGGGGCCCTCACAGGTGACCCCAAAAAGGTCACAGAAACAAAGGTCTCATATACTAAAATATTCATAGCATCACTTTTGTGGTAGGAAAAAAGCTGGAAACAAGGTGGGTACAAACTAAATAGTCAATGGCTAAACAAATTGTGGCATATAGATACAATGAGTTATTATTTCCCTTTAAGAAAGAACAACTATAAGGAATTCAGAGAAACATTAGAAGAATTGTATGGACTGATACAGAGTGAAGAGAACAATCAGGAGAAAAATACAGTAACACTGATACCAAAAAATACCCACTAAAAGGGATAGTTGCATTCTTATTGATCTGCAAAAACCAATCTTGGTCCCAGAGAACAAAGGAAGAAATACTCTTTGTTCCTTTCTGGTAGGGAGATTGAGAACTACAGCTTTGGGTGTGGAGCTATGCATATGCTATCAGAGATGGTCACTTAGTTTTGCCTACCTGGTTTTCTCCATTACAATGAAAGGGTCACTACAGAAACACAAGATATCCAAATTAACAAAACATGAAATAAAGATAAAGCAATCTTATCACAGAAAAGGAAATTGAACAAGCCACAAGGGAATTTACTCTTGGTAGAACTGTGAATTGGCTCAATCATCCTGGAATACAATTGGAACGTGAGAAAAAAACACTGAATTATTCCTTAGTTTTGACCCAAAGATACATGCAATATAAAACTCCTTAAAGGGAGGGACTCTTTCATTTTTGTCTCTATAGTCTCAGAGCTTAGCACAATTTTTTGTTGTTATTCAGCTGTTTTAATCATGCCAACTCTTTGTGACCCTCCCCCCTTCTGGGATTTTCTTGGCAGAGATACTGGACTGATTTGCCATTTCCTTCTCCAGTTCATTTTACAGATGAGGAAACTGAGGCACACAGGGTTAAGTAGCCCAGAGTCACAGAGCTAGTAAGTGTCTGAGGCCAGATTTGAACTCAGGAAGACTCACCTTCCTAAGTTCAGGCCCAGCGCTCTATCTACTGTGACGCCTAGCTGCCTTAACACAATTAATAAGTAAGTACATTTATTTAAGTACCTACTATCTGGCAGATACTGTGTTAGATGCTGGGGATAGAAATCCAAAGAATGAGAGGGCTTGGGGGAAGGGGGACCCTGATCCAGATGAATTTACAAGTGAATTTTTTTTCCAAAGTTTAAAGTGATTTACTTGTGTTGGACAAGTTATTCTCAAAAAATGAGAAAGAAAACACTGCACCAAACTTCACTGATGAGACAAATATAGTCAGTATTAAAGTATATGTTGACTTAATTTGGAGGCTCTTTGTAGAATTCCTCTATTTCTTCATCCTCTGCAACAAATATTCATGTATAAGCTGCAATTATCTTCAGAACAACCTTTTTGCAAAAGTTCATCAGAAACACTGAAATGTAATGTAAACAAACATCCCCCAAAATGATCTATTTTGCCTTTGGATGCACAATGAAACCAACTCTGCTAACTCCTTTTTTTTTTCTTTCTTTGCCTCTGAGGAGAATTAGCAAATCATTCTTCCATTTAGCAGCAACTTCCTTTTGTCTTCTAGTTTCATTTTTATCAAGAATGTCAAAGTTGATAATGACCTGCAGGATTCTGTCTGCTCTTTGATCAATGGATGCTCAGGTCACTATTTACATAATCTAGTACAATAGATGACTCATTGCCCCAAGGTTCAAACAAACAGTCCTTTTACCGGAATCACATTCCAATACCTTCATGTAGAAGTGACTATCCAGGTGGTTAAAAAAGCAATTCAGGACGATAAAAATAATCAGAAATGCCAGCAAGGAGATTAAAAGAGTCAGAAAATCAGCAGGCAGCTGGGTGGTAGAATGGACAGCGTGCTGGACCTAGAGTCAGGAAGGCCCGAGTTCAAATCCTGCCTCAAATACTTGCTAGTTGTGTGACCCAGTTACTTCACACTGGCTCAGTTTCCCCATCTATAAAATGGGGTTAATAAATTATCTTTGTAACGTCCCTGGAATAGGTCCCCTTCTTTCCTGGGACACTGCCCTCACCCTAGTGCAGACCATCACCAAGTAGCCTACCTGTGGCTGGTGAGGGGAAGGGTCTCCCTGGCACAAGTCTCTCCCTACTGTAGTTCATCCTCCATTCAAATGTCAAAGTGATCTTCCTAAAGCACAGCTATGACTCTGGTACCCACTCTCATCAACAGACTTCAGCGTTTACCTGTTACCTCCAGGATCAAATACAAAATCCTCTGTTTGGTGTTCACAGCCCTTCCTAACCTGCCATCCCCGCCCTCACCTTTCCATTCATGCTGTTTAACCCACTACCTTCCCAACTCCTTCAGCTCCTCTTCTGATTGGAGGATGGAACGCTAAACTCCTCCCAAAGCTTTCCTTTAGAGAGGGCAGGACTCTGGACTGTCTAGCTCACTCCACTTTCCAAAACCTGCAGCTCTGCTTGTTTTGAAGTCCACGGAATAAAATGCCCCCAACTGGGTCCTGCCAGGTAGGACCTCTCCTGCTTTGCAGCATCCTTCCCCTATTTGACTATAAGCTTCTTGAGGGCAGGGGCTGTCTTTCTTGTTCTTTACTTAGCACAGTGTCTGGCACATAGCAGGAACCTAATAAATGTTGAATTGAAAAAAGTTCTTACACCTCACACTCCCACCAGCTTCCTCATTGTTCCTCACACAAGAAACTCCATCTCCCAATCCCGGGCGTTTTCCCTGGCTGCCTCCATCCCTGAAATGCTCTTTCTCCTCACATCTATCTCTTGTTTTTTCTGGTTTCTTTCAAGGCCCAGCTTCTACAAGAAGTCTTGATTCTAGTGCTTTCCCTCTGTTGATAATTTCCTGCGTAAAACTTATTTTGTATGCAATTATTTGCGCGTTACTTCCCCCATTGGACTGTGAGCTCCTATAGAACAGAGGCCACCTTTTGCCTTTCTTTGTATTCCCAGTGCTTAGCACAGGTGCTTAATAAATGCTGGTTGACTATCTCCCCGGTCTTTTATGAGGATAAAAATTCGGTGGGGGGAGAAGGCCTGCACAGGACTGAGAGCCATCTCGTATTTTTCTTTTTTATCATGGATTATTACCATGCCAAATAACTTATCCCCAGTGGCTGGCCTTGAAAGGCTGTTCCTCAGAAAGAAGGCACAGTCTAGAGCCAAGAGCAGAGTCAAACCTTCCTCCGTTTTCTAGCGCCATTATCCTGGCAGGGCTTTCCCTGTAGGCCATACTACTGAGGAGAAATGTCAAGAACAGAGACAGAGGTAAAGTAGTCCTTCCTTCAAGAAGCTCCATTCCCCTTTTAGTCCCCAGACACTTTTTCTTGCTTCTGTTTCCACAGAAGACAATCTGCCATTTGGTCTGTGCAGATGAGGCCTGGAGATGTCCTAAGAGCAGAAGGTCATTGCACTTCATTGTCCAGTGGGTATCTCAACTAGGTACTGGCTTGAGTCTCAACCCTCAGACGCCTGCCCTGGTCATTGAGATGCCTTCATCTCTCCTGACCCGACCACCTACAACAAAATGAGGCACTGGCAGAGACGCTGGGGGAGGATATTGTAACAAGAAAGCATGATGTGGTTTCTCTTTGGAGGCTTTCTTTTTGAAGGGGACAAGAGGAGTTTGGATCCATTGCAAATGTGCTCCTTGTCATATCCTCCCTATACCTTGTCTTCAAAAAAAAAAGCTTTTAAATTTTGAAATAAGAACCTGTTGACCCAAGTTACTCTCTAAGAAGTGAAATATTTGGGGTTAGATAATTTTTTTGTTTTGTTTTTGTCAAGGCAATTGGGATTAAGTGACTTGCCCAGGGTCACAC